GAGGTAAGCTTTGTCGGACACCACAGCGCATCTTGCCATCACCTGGGAAAACACCACTTGCAGTCTTTGCAAGAGGAACAAAACTGTAATGAACTACACATATATAGATCATCTTCGGTTGGATTATTTTTAGTGTGCCTTTAAAACCTTATGTTGTAGGAATGTAGGACTTCTAACTCTGCATTAAGTACACAAGTAAGAGGACACAAAGTGACTTTCAGGCTTCGATTGGGATGAAGACTACAACTAAGACTAAGCAGATGATGGCAACGTTGAGATCCCTTACATCCCCCGTCCTTTCTTTGTCGATATTTAGTCTCAAATACTTTGATTTACAACAGAATCACATGAAACACTCTTAATCAGTAAAATTCGGTATTCTGCAGTTGACGTACTACTGTAGAGAACCTGAATAAAGAACAGTTCTGGTGACAGAAACATGTAAACGCAAAGGGATTGTCTTCCAGTATTTGTCTTACGACAAACACAATGCAAGACAGAGGTGACATGAAGATTACGGGGTCCAGATGTTTCTTTTGGAAAAAAAACAAAAGTATTCCGTATCAGGATTTCGCTTTTGTCTGGTGTAATTGTACTGTGTTAATCCCAGATGGAGGGATTAACACTCCCGTTCCTCACTGAGGATATCAGCTGGAAACGGAGCCAGCTGACTTCTGCACAGGAGGGCAGTCGTACTTTACAGAGCGTGTCCTTGAGTCAGTTGTGTTTAATTTCAGACAGAAGGTAGTACAGGCATGGAATATAGGATCCTGGGGACATGGAGGATAAAGAACAAGGCAAGGGGGATGCAACTTTGAAGAAAAACTTCATTTTTTGTTTATGATGTGATTGGGGTGAAGGTGTATTGTCTTTTTCTTTTTCAGACTTTTTTTCCATCTGGTTATCTCATTCCTCTTGCTCAGTGCACCCATGGCAACAAGGCAGGCTTTTCTGACGAAGAGAAAGCTGGGATCTGTTCATTACAGCACACTACCTACAGCTCACCCGTTGCTGGTGAGTATTAAATAAAATAGGCATGGAGTCGTTTGCCTTAAAGGATTGTGGGCCATGTTCATCCCACTGAGGCAATGGCTCGAGTCTCCATTTTTCATGCCGTTCAATGCTTCATTTTTCTGTTTCAGGTGTCATTCCAATGACAGCACCTGAACTGAAAGCAGTTAACATTCCTGCTTTCCATATAACACCCCTGAATATAATGCTGTCGCCGACATCTATAGCTGCTGCACCTGTACTGAGCAACTCCTGTCTCACCTCGAGCAATACCGCTTCTGCCCCAAATCCAAGTTCTTCAGTTCTGAACTTTACTCTGCAACATGTAGGACTAATACCTGCCGGTGTGCGAGTTCCTGCAAATCCTGTTCTTCAGCACGTGCCGGTCTCTTCACAACCAGAAAACGTTAGCCGTAGCTCAGAAAACCTAAATTTGCAAGAGGAGAAGGTAACTCAAAATACATTGCAACTTCTTGACTGTGGTGGGTTGAGCGGGAAGTACAGTGCAGGAATTTCTTTATGGCAGGTAAAATTTTGAAATAAACAAACACTTTTTTTATCTTTATAAATCAACACTGCCCAAAAAGAGCTGGCAGCGAAGGCCAGCGTAAGTACAATGTAACGGAGAGGTTAAGAAAGGAAGAATAAGTATATTATTTGTTGTGGAAGTGGAGCCGGCTGGAAGATGACAATATGTGAAGAGACCACTGTTTTTTTGCATAGATCTGAGGTGACACTTATTAACAAATTGTCCATTCGTTACTTTATCTTTCCTTCTCATTACTCTTCTAATCTACTTTCAAGTTCCTGCATTTGATGTTTAACTTTTCTTTTAATAGGATGGGATTGTAGAGGATTTTATAAGAATATTTTTTTCCCACAGGAACTTTATGTTGTGTACTACTGTATTGCCTAAGGTCTGTTGGTATTAAAAAAAAAAGATAGGAGGAGATTTAGAGAAACCAGATTTTTATTTAACTGATTTTATATATATATATTTAGAGATATATCAAGGGATACACTTATATTATTCTCAGTAGAGAGTTAAGTTTATAAATTTAAGGAAAAAAAAATGAGTTTGGTAACATCCGGCCAATTAGGAAACCTTAGAATTCCCTTTTTTTTTTTCCTGCCCCTTAAATTAAAATAATTTTCTCTCTTCTCTTTAGCCCTGTGTTCCAAAGGAAGCCCAAGGGCCCCAGACAGTTACAGAAAATTTTTTCCGCACGCCAGGAGGGCCGAACACAGTACCTTCGCTAGCTGCAAATTCAGATGGTACCAATCGAATCTCTCAAGGAACTCTGTATATTCCTCAACGAAAACTTGAAGTGTCCGAAGACTAATTTTGGGATATCAAATTGCTGAACGTGTTGGCAGGCATAATTACTGGTAACACACTGCACACATCCTGGATCCTATGATGGACAATGCGCATTTTGGACATGTATTGGCGAGACCTCAATACTGGAATAGCCTTAATTGATGCTTTAGAATTAAAACTGGCTCTTAATGAGAAAGTTAATGTCTAATAATTTTTCCAAAAGGCTTACCTGAAGTATTATAGCAACCAAGTTATGTATGTAGTAGTTTTTGTGTTGCTTTTCTGCTATGCAAAGTAAGCTGAAATTGTCTTTGTACAGAAAGGTACAGTCTATCAGTCAGTACATGTTTTGCACAAAGAAAAGTACTGTGAGTGTGTACATATTTTAAGTCTTAACAAAAAGCCCATAGTTAAAGTGTCTTGCTCCTATGTTCAAGAAAGCTCTTTTGTAAAGTTAGTAAAAAAAAGCCAACCAAAAAATGAATTCTTAATCAAGTTTTATATAAGTTAAGAATTATTTATACTGTATTTTTAAATCAATTCGTTCAGATTAAACTTACATCGAACTCAAATTTTGACTTTTTTTTTGTTTGTTTGATCAAATTAAATTACCTGAGTTAAGTAATGCATTATATAGTCACTGGTATCTCTTAATTCGTTTTTTGTCAGACAGTGGTGTCTGTCTTCTGAAAAAAGGGAAAATGGTATTTCATCAGAAAGGGATTTAAGTAACTCGATTTAACTTCTGAACTCTATCACTCGAGATCACATCTTCTAATAACAACAATTAGAGGAAAAACATAGCTATGAAGTTTGGAATTTAAGTGTCTTTACCACCCTGGAGCACTCTGGAAAGTGCAGTCCAGGTGTCACAGGATTGAGAAGTGATGTGGTTTGGGGCTCAAACTAAACAATCTGAGTAAGATTTGAGGATGTACACTCATTACCTCGCCTCTCTTCTCCCATTAAACTCAGAGTGTGAGCCCGGTCCATGCTACGCTACACACAGTCTATAGGTTCTCTTGACACAGGAGAGGCTTCAAGCCGAAGGACGTTTTCATGCCATTTCACCTAAGGTTTTGTAGCCATCTGAAGCGGTTTGCGGCAGAAATCCTGGGTGCAGTCACCAAAGCACTGGCTATTCACTGCTGCAAACAACATCAGGTCTGGCTTCCAACAGGATGGAACCCCGTGTCTCTTGGATGTACCCACACCGTACAGAGGCTGGACGGTTAGTTTCAGCTTTCTAGCTAAGACCAAAGTCAACTTCCAGCTGTTGTTCCTCCTCTACTGCAATTTCATATCAAACAGGTTCAGGTAAACCAACTGAATTTAAATGCGTACAGCAGTCTCTTCAGCGCTGAAGGAAGAAGGATGAAGCCTCCTCACGCAGCTCACACTCGGATGACAAAGAACGATGACAGGCTGAGAGTTGGGGTCGTTCTGTCTGGAGAAGAGAAGGCTCCAGGGAGACCTTATAGCCCCTTCCAGTATCTGAGGGGGCCTACAGGAGAGCTGGGGAGGGACTTTTTACAAGGGCATGTAGCGATAGGATGAGGGGTCACGGTTTAAACTGGAAGAGGGAAGATTCAGATTAGATATCAGGAAGAAATTTTGCACTATCGAGGGTGGTGAGGCAGTGGCGCAGGTTGCCCCGAGAAGCTGTGGCGGCCCCATCCCTGGAGGTGTTCAAGGCCAGGGTTGATGAAGCTTGGAGCAACCTGGGCTGGTAGGAGGTGTCCCTGCCCAGGGCAGGGGGGTGGGACTGGATGGTCTTTAAGGTCCCTTTCAACTCCAACCATTCTATGATTCTATGAATAACTAACAAATTAAAGGCAAATACAGTCCATCTGCCTTCCCAGGTGAAACATACCTGGCTGTCCAAATTAGGACAGGAGAAATGCCAGCACAGCCCAAGATTCAGGCTTGGACTGAGTCAAAAAACATAGTTAAAACAGCTAACATAGTAAAACTAACTGACTTGCTCTTTAATAAGGCAAAATTATAACACAAGATACACCTGACAGAATAGGATTTCTATTGAAATACTCCTACATGAGGGGGAGAGAAAAATAAACGCTGGAAAATTGAGGAATTCTCACCGCAGCAGTGAGTAGATTTTTCTTTTCTTCTCCGAAGTGGTAGTTGATTGGTCTTCCTTACACCTGCTATTGATTTAATGCGAGAAGCATAAAAGCTAAGACTTCTAGAAACTTCCATTACTCTAAGGAAACAAACTACAAACCTTTAGTTTTTGGACACTGCAGTGACAGAATATGAAATTACAGTAATTAGGCTTAAAGAAATGGCCTTCTCACAAACTGCGCTCTATTCTGAAAAGCCGAACGTATATTCCTAGTTGCTGCCTGGTGTCCCTTGGCTCCTGTCAAAACACGATTGCTTCCTTTTTCACGCGGGCTTTATAACAGCACCTAGCACTTTACCTTGTTCTCGTTCATTCTGCAGGCTGAAAAGCTCCCGTGTCTCTGCCCAAAGCACCCGGTTCCCCAAATGACTGGCTTCTCACTCCGACTAGCTGAGCTCGCTGCTCTTCCCACCTGCCTCACCTCCCCTCCAACGTGCCCCACAGGCTCTGTTGCGCAGCTCAAGGAATGTCCCTCCGATCCTCAGGCTCCCTTCGCTTTTGATACGCTGCGTTCCAGTGCTCTGAGCAGTGTTTTTTAATCCCTACCTTTGAGCAGGTCCCACCTGCTGTAGGTGACCCTGCTCTGGCAGGGGGGTTGGACTAGATGATCTCCAGAGGTCCCTTCCAACCCTGACCATTCTGTGATTCTGTGATTCCCAGAAAACACTACATTCCCGCTCCACCAGGAATATAAAAATTCGTGTATGTGTATACTCCAGTTGCATATTTGAAGTCTGTTGTTCCCAGCTCAGCTCCTGATAGCCACAGTGGATCAGGGATGAGATGAAACGGCAACTAACCCATACAGCTCCGACTGCTCCCTCAAGCTGTAAGGAGGCTCTCAATAAGACTGGCTTCCCTACGGGGGCACCCACTATCTGGGGTCGCACAGAGATACAGGAACGAAGCGACACCCAATACCAGGAAACTAAAGGTTGTTCCCTCCCTTTTCCCCTTAAATTCTCGGACAAACTCAAAGGGAAAATACTTACTGACATTTTGGGGCAAAATCTTTCTCCGCAGATTTCCCTGCAGTTGGTTATGGGGCAAATCCATCCAAGCACGTGATCTACATGATGTGCATGAGGATCAGTGAAGATTCAGCTCCCTCAAATGTCAAGGGTCTTAACTCATCAGTCACCAAGGCTGCAAACACAAAGTGGTTATGAGCTTCTCAGCGCTCTGCCTGTGCTCCAGCATCGAGCTCAATCCTGCCCCGACCCCTCCTCGTTGCCGTCTTACAAGAAACGTTCATTCCACATATATTGTCCCATCACCTCAGCATTCAGTCTCATTTGGCACAGGCAAAAGAGTTCCATTGCCCATCCCGGGAGAATGACCAAGAAGCGATGGAGTCCAGCTCTCCTGCTCAGGGAAAAATTAGTCCTCTAACTTCACATCCAGGATCTGCCTCCACATTATAAAAATTTGTGCTGGACTCAACATTCGATGGATCTATAGGCTCTTAAGAGTTTTCAAAGTAGCCTCAGCGAACAGACCCCTAAAACCCTAACATCTGACATGGATTTGGCATCTAATTTCCTTACGCTCCCATGAAAGTCCCAGAGTTGAGTCTCTCGCCTTCAGACTCCAGGTACTGAACCCCTGGGCTCCACAGGCTCAGCTCTTTCCCACACAGCAAAGTCCACAACACTGAAAAAAGCTTCTACACTCACACATCCCTTTAGAAAATGAGAATTAACTTCTAAATCTTTAAAGCGCTTAAAATAAAACCCCGCAAAAAGCCACTTTTAAGTGCTTCCTAGTTCAGTCTCCACTTCTTTAACACATCTGCAGCATCATCCGTTTCCAAGGGGCTCAGCAGGGCATGGCAAATATCACTGCAACCTTTAGACATGCCAAATATTACACATACTGACTAGCCATCTTCATGCCTAGACCCAGGAAAAATTTAAAGTGAAAAGCCTAATTTTCTGTACCCTAAAAGACAAACCCGTGATATCCATCAGATCATGAACTGCTGAATGAAATTCCGTTTGGTTCACAACTGGCGAGTTCCAGAGGTTCCTACAAAGAGGCATTTGGGCTTTTTCTGAATAACTATTTCGGCAAAATTATTTTTGGCAACGTGACCATTTGTGAGTAAACCCTCATTTCAGGAACCGTTATTTTATTGTTCACATTTAAGCCATGCGGTAGGAACTATAAAACTTTAATCTTTATTTCTGATCTGTCAGACTGGGGTTCGGAATGCCCTCTAGGTGTAACCCGAGGGGCTGCATTGTTGTCCACCTACTCACAAGTGGACATAAGGGGACAGAATGCCAGGCTTTTGTCAGAGGTTATTTTCAGCTCCGTGATAGCAATGGCATTGCTCAGATCCCTGAAGCCTCTCTCATTCCCCTCCCCTCCCAGCTTTTATAGGGCCGACAGCGGTGGCCACTGCGTTTAAAGAGTGCAGGAATCCCTCGCGTTCAAACCCTTCGAGGGCCAAGAAAACAGGGAGAAACATCAAGCGACTCCGGTAAGTCGAGTATATCGGGTTCTGCTATCATTGTCTGATATAAGGGGTTGGGTATTATTTTTTTTCCACCCCTCTAACAGGTAGTAGAAACAGCTTATGGCTTGACAAAGAAAAAGGTGTTGGTACAGTGCAGAAACGCGAGTCCTACAGAGCCGACAGTGGTATTTTAGGTTTGGCATAGCCAACCGGTAAGAGATTCTTCTGGGCTTCTCAGCTTGTGTAGTAGCTACTGATGTTACAGGAATGGGGCTGTGGAGATCCTCGTTAATGAGACACACGTTTGGAGTACGTGCAAGACGGGGCAACAGAAGTTTCAGAAGCTTTGAAAAAGTTTGTTAGAACACTATAGAATTACATTTTCCAGTTTGTCTTTGTATATCCACTTTTTAAA